TAAAACAGTGCTGGCATTTTACCCTGTATTTATTCAAAGCTGTGCTTCCATTGACTTCAGCTTTAGTTGGCAATGCTTAGCAATCCTGTGCAACCAAATCCAGGTTTATGTCGGGCACAGAGCGAAACACAGCAGTGACCACAGTGAAGAAGTTTGCTTTGATAGCAAAGTTGTTTTAGCTGTTCCCTAGGGTCTCATCTCGTTCTTCTGATCAAAATACCACGTGTAATGTCTAGTAAGAACCTAGTAAGCAAAAGTGCTGAGACTTCTGTGACCCTAAGTGGAGTTTGGTGTTCTGGGAACACTTCCTATTTCAGTAAGTGGAAGCCATCTTACTGCTCAGCAGAGTTGGGTTGCATTGTGCCACATACTGGTGCAGAAAGCTTAAAAATCTAGGGCAGCATGAAAATGTAGAACACTGAAATGAATTACTGAAACTGAAATACTGTCCAAAATATAGGAAGCTTGGAAGCTTAATAGGAAGTCAGTTAACAGATGAACTGAAATATGTAGACACAGGGCAATGTATCTTTGGAAGGGTCCAGGTGCCTGAGGTGTGTTACATGGTTAAGCATTTTGAGTATGGATGATATCCAGGCTCAGGTGACATGTGTTAAATCACTGACATGCACTCTCAGGGTAAAACTTTTCACCTTTTAACTGTACTTCAGTAATTCATGGTTAAGTGTCTCTGCTGCCATAATCCTCTGCAGAGACAGAAGAAAATGATGCAGCTTCAGTTTCTGGAATAAGATACATGTTCTCCATCTGTCTGCCATGGGATATGTCAGTAATTTCCTTTTTCAGTTCACTAGTTCCAATTACTCTGGCCTACCTGTTCAGGCTGAAAGACTTGGTGAGGAAATCAGCCTGTATTGAGATCCACTTAGCACCTGTAATGGCTGTAGCTATAGACCTGGTCTTGGCATTGTCATCCATAATATTTTTTTCCTTATTCTTTATCTTTCTTTCTCACCAGTAAAGACATGGTTTGTGTATCTATTGGGAGGGAACTGAAGTAGTGCTGGGTATGCCCTGCCCTTACGTGCCTGTGCTGTGAGTCTTGAAGTGGGCAGAACAAAACCTACTACATTACAGGGTACAACAAATGGGAAAAAGTTCTTTTTATTTCGGATGTTACACATGCTTGTCAATTACATGCTTCGGGTACTACTACTAAGTAATTTTTGTTTCATAATTAAGATAACTTTCAGAATGTCTTTTCCCCTTCTGGAACTTGCTGATACACTGATTAAAACTCAGCCACCTCCTGGAATAAGCAACACAGGCATCTGTCCTGGAGATAAACAGACCTCTTCAAAGCAATGTTTTGATTCTTTCCTGGAGTTGGTTCATTATGTGTACTGGATGGAGACTGGAGACCTCTGAAAAATTGTTATGGTTGAGTAATTAAAGGCTATCATAATACATATGCACAAAAGTGTAAAGTTCAGATAAAATGCATATTGTTGTACTTTCTCATTTTATTTTAGTATCTTGACTCTGCAGTTATTTTTGGCAGTTAATCTCTGGGTTTAGTTTTTTTAATTAAGAGATTATAGACACTGTATTTTGTGACATTTTTAATCAGACATACAAATAAGATATTTAGAGGTAGAAGGTTGAGACCCAACTCCAGCTGAAGATCCATTTCACTTTGTGATCCTTTAAAAATCTGATCCTGCATATGCACTTGTAATTTTTCACTATGCATAACATGTACACTTTGAGGAAGTCTGTGTCATGGCTGAATGTATAGATAACAGCCAAGGACCAGAATTTAAAGTTTTAGGACTCATTTCTTCTCTAAGAGCTGGTGTTACTGAACTTTTTCGTTCTTTCAAGATTGGAGTGTTGTAAGAACCAAAATATGCTGCTGTATCCACCAGTAGCTAACAAGTAGCTGTCTGTACGCAGCAGAAGTACAATCCAACACGGGCAGGCTGGACTTAATCTTTTGGTGACTTAATGATTACTGTGTACCCAAAGGCAGTGCCTTGCAGCTGGAGATTTCTCTTTTATCCATAACTTAGTTTATCAAAGTAGGCCTTAGGAACTTTGTATTCTCTAGGAAGATATCCCAGCAGATTTTTCAGACTTGCTGATTTTTCAAACTTCTTTTCAAGTTATTTACTATGCTTTATCATTGTGTATTTTACATATATTTTGATTTTCATTCACAATCCTAGTCCCAGAACTTCCGTGAGAAGGTCTCATGCACTACTGAGGGCCTTTGTGAATTGTTTTTGTTGTTCAGATTGTTTGGCAGCAGGTTTGCAGCCTGTGGAAACAATGCAAAAGGCAAATCCGGGAGATGGAACAGTATCAGTTCACAAAACCAGGAGAACCTGTTCATGCTGAGAAATGAGGAAACATAATCGTGTGTGTGTGTGTGTGCTTGTACAGAAGCACCAGTTTTCTTGGGAGAAATTACTGAATTTAGGAAACAATCTTCAAATCTGCTGAGTACAAATGAGTTCCTACTGAAATGAAGGCTACTAAGAAAAATGGTAATAGGATTTTTATTTAGGAGCTAGAATGTTAGCCCTGACCTGTTTGTTTTATCACCCACACAACAAAATCTGTATTCAGCATGCATTATACTTATGCACATGCCACAACATACTCATAACATCTGTTGTGTCTAAAATTTCCTTTACTAGATTGATCTTTCTCAAGTACTACAATGGGAAGTGTTATAATTGCCTAGGTGAAGGGTTTTGATTAAATTGATCTTCCTTAGTTAAAATGTAAAATTCATGTATTAATAAAGGACAATTAAATTCAGTTTGTAGGCTCTGTCCTCTTCTCAACTCACACCTTCTGTCCTCTAAGACTGTAATCTCAGGATTGTTTAAAGCTGGCATACATTATTACTGTGGCAAAAGCAGCAGTCCTGCCCTTTTGCTCTCCAGTGTTGGTTTTGCCAGCTCAGCTCTGCTACAGCTGTGTAGTAATCCCGATCAGGGGGCTGATCTGACTGAAAAATACTTCCCCTCCCCTACTTAGGATATAAGATGTATGTTTGCTGTGATATTTTCTCTTGAAAAAGATGTCATAGTTGGGTGTTGAAACATCTGACCTCCTTACATAATACACAGTACATGTATTTAAAAAAGCAAATAGAAAAAGGCACAAAAATTCCTGCTTTGAGACAATGATATAGATTCTATTTAATAAATTTACTAATGTATCACAAGAGTGGAATTTTTTTACATCCAATTAGGCTTTTTCTTTTTAATATAACCTTGCATTTATGTTTAGGAAGTGAATATGAAATAAAACAAACTCTTCTCTCCTACTATATGTTACTAAGAATTGGGTTGTTATAACAAAAACAAAGTTTTCTTTTAGGGAAAAAAAACACCTCAAGAAACCCCTGTTTTGGGGTTTTCGTTTGGTTTGTGGTTATATTTCCCCCAGGATCTACTTCAGATTTCCTAGGCATACATTTTATTTTATATTCCAATATATTTATCCACTTGGATAGGTGAACAAGTACTCTTTTAAATACAGTATACAAACGTTGACATTTTAAGCAGCTGTAGAAGACTTGAAAATGGTCAACAATGAAACTTGAAATCAGTGAGCTCATTTGAACTTCAGAGCTTAGTATAGCTTCTAACAGAAATCAAGTATTATTATCTGAACATCATGTTTGACTGCCAAAAAGCGCTCAGTGGATGAAATAGATGAGTGAGCAAAGCAATGCTATTCCACTTACAGAAAATACAACATTAGCATGTTGGAGAAGGGAAGTTGGATCTGCAGTTTAGAGTAGGCACTGTGGGAACATGAGATTTTTGCCGATAAGCAAGCTCAGTTTATACCAGTGAACTCATTCTCTCCCTTTGTTTTATTTCAAGACAAGAACAAGAGGATTCAAGGGAAATAATGCTTAAGACAAAACTTTTATTACCTTTTCTGTGCATATTTCTGCCTCCTCTCTGAGGATTGTAATTTTTATTCTTTCAAGCAAGAATATCTTCTAGTAACCAGCATGTGAAAAACATTGTTCCAGGAATTATGGGGGCATATTATAGTGAATGTTTCAGTTGGCACAGTGGAATGTTATACCACTCCTTATTGATGGTAGCGTAATGTAATAAAGAAACACATTTTTTTTTCCTTAAAATATGGTAGTGATGGGAATAAGAAAAATAATGGTTTTTTAGAAAGAGGCTGACTACAATGGCCATTCTGTTGTGTCGTGTTGTGTACAGTACGCTAGATACGTGGACATTGGTAGATTGTTTCCTCCATGGGATTGTTCCTGAACTTTGAAACTGGTTGTTCTAGTAGACCTGCGAAAGATTGAGTCTGGTTTTTTTCTTTTCTTTTTCCCTTTTCCTTATAAAACAGTAGCAGAACTACTGCAAATTAAAAATGGGAGATTCAAACGATACAACCCTTGCTTGGTTTTTGAGTGCCCTGTGGAAGTGTTGCATATTCTGGCTTGCCTGTCGTGTTTGGTTTTTTCCTTGCATCTTGTGTATTTTCCTTAAACCCGTGAGATTAATATTAGACATTTAAAGAATTGCTTGGTACTTTCTGGAACAAATATGCCTGCTGGCATCTTGAGCACTGCTTCTGCTCTGATATTAAGGTAGCACAGTGACAGAAGGCAGATGATGAAGCTGTAAACCAGAAATCTCTGAAACAATTTCACTTCTCCAGTGTAAACATTGATATTGCTTTATTTCTGAGTCCTTATTTAAATGGTAATATTTAGAATTAGCTATTGTTTGTATGCGTATTTTTAGAAATATTAAAAGCCTCTCTGCGTAGCTGAGGGAAATACTGGGGAAAGCAGCAGTTGCAAAACAAAGGATATGATTTTAACAACTGTAGGCTTATATTTATCCTTTTTTTAAATTTTGAAAAGTTCTATCAAGAAGAAATTTGAATTGAATGCTGGATTTTATATAACAAGACATGAACCTGTGTTAGAAAATGATTTTTTCAATAACACTTGTTCTTTCCTTTTTTTTTTCTTCTAGGACCGGAATAGGCCCTATGACACTTTTAACTTGCACTCTTTGGAAAATTCCTTAATGGATATGATAAGGACTGATCATGAGCCTCTGAAAGGTAAACACTACCCTCCCAGTGGCCCACCAATGAGTTTCGCTGATATAATGTGGAGGAATCATTTTACAGGTTAGGAATATTCATATGTCCATGCTTGCTTGGTGTTTAAACAAAAATCAGCTTTTCAGTATTGCTCTAAACTTTTTGCTAATGAATGAGTTTTCAGTTATGTAAAACTTCTATTTTCCCGTCTTAAGATAATCTTCTCTACTTTAGCAAGATAAGGTGAAATGTGTATACATTTATTATAAGTGTACAATCCTAGTATCTAACTGGCATATCTGAAACGTGGGTTTGTGTCTCAGCAGATTGCACAGCTGGGTCTCTTGCTTCAGTCACTTCAAAAGATGAGTAGTGCAACTGGAGTCCAACTGTTATGTTCAACATCTTGTTCAAAGTTTATACTACACCTGTATGGATTATCAGCTATTGTATAGGGTTCTAAAACAGCCACTGTATCAGGGTTACTCTCTACAGTTGTTCAGGTATCTTTTAAACAAATTTGCCTTAATTTGGATTTCAGATTGTTGGGGGAGCCAAAAGATACTAGATGTTATTAAGTGCTGGAAAGTTTTGACTGTGTATGCTGTTGAAGTGTCTTTGTTCTACCAGGTATAGCATTAGAGATGAAACCATTTCTAATACTCAGCTGGTAATGAATAGTGAAAGGTGTGGCAGCATTTTAGTGAATAAATATTCATGATCAATCTGCACGTTCTTCTGTCTTAATCTTTCATTAGTTACGTTTAAAAATAGGTACACGTTCTTGCTGATGTGCATTCTTGGTGACTTTGAAGACATGAGTAAGCCATATACCAGGAAAATGTTGAACAAGGAATGGTTCCCAAACACTAAGAAATCAGGACACACAGAAAAAATTCAGTTGTGTAGCACTTCCTGTGTTAATGCTTATAGACATGCTTTTTGATGTCACGATTGCCTCATTTACTCCCCTCCCATATATATATATTACACATGGAAAATATTTTTCCTAGGTCTGAGGTCGTGTGCCTATTTTGCCGTTTTTCTGGGTACAGAGTTTTTGTAATTGGTTTCTGTACTCTCTTCTATGCTTTCCACTGTTGTCTTGAAATTTCCTGTGCTATAGCCTTCAAGTGTCTTTAATCATTATTCATCTGTCTAAAATAGTAAGAAGTACTTTCTCATGTCTATTCTGATCACAGACCTCCAAATTAAGGGTTAAACTGGAATGTAAAAAACCAAGCTCAATAAAATTGAGGTTTTTGCTGGATATACGTTATATATAGCTGGCATTAAAATATAAAATAAAATCCAAATTGTTAGTAAATAGAGTTAAATATTTACTGTATCTTATTACAATAAATATGATAATCTAGCTAAAAACTCCGATTTTTTTTGTTTTTAGTCAGTATTTATATAAATATACAAATAGAGATTTATCTTTTAAAGACTGAATTTCCATGTGAATGTGTGTGGAAAAACTGAGAAAGACGGTATTAGAAGTTTTATTGGATTGGATATTAATTGTTGTAAAGTTTAAGTTGAACTTCTCCATTTGCCGGTGGGACCAGTAGCTTTACATTTTCTATTAACAAATGCTTCTGTCACATACTGGATGTGTCTTTCTGACTATTTAATTTTCTCATTCACTGCTGCTCACCTGCTTTGGCCTTCCTGCCGTGTTAATTAGCTCACTTCCAGTCCAGTAGCTGTTGGAGATGTTAGTTATCTCTCTGTCTCTGCACAGCTGCTTTTGTGTTTGTTTCTTTGCTTTCCCAATGATGTAGTTAATTCCCTGTCTCGCTTTGTTTTCCTCCTCCAGGAAGGGCTTAGTTCTGTAGTCTCCAGCCTTGGCCTGACCCAGTGTGCACTTTCCTCTCTAGTCCAGCTTTCACACTGTGCAGCATGACTGGCAATATTCATAGGGGTGGCTGTTTTATTCTCCCTTGCAAGAAGTGTCCCCTCCCTCTGCATTAAACAAATATATGTTACTATTTTAGCTGAATCCTTTTCATAAAAAACATTTTTCTGCAAACATTGATCCATTCCTTAAGTCACTTTCTTGTTGCGTTTTTGCTGTTACTTTTTCTGTGAAAATTGGTCTTGACTCTTCTCCTGTACATCCAACTTCTTGCTTTTTCTCGACCAAAGATGCAGAAGGTTTTGAGCTGCTGTCCTTCTCTGTACCTTCCTTGCATTTCACTTAATGTTGTCTCCTAAAGTCACTTGATTTTCTTCTTATTTATCCCACTCTTTGGCTCTCCCCCTTAACATAGCAGGACATTTTAATCTGTTATGACCTTGAGAAAGTGATCTTGGGGCTTTTTGAATATATTGGTTATGTGCTTCAGCTTGATTTTTTCAGTTCCTCATAGACACTCCTGTGTAAATGCCTCTTGTGCAAAATTTCAGCCACTCTTTCTGGCATATTATTGACTTAACCAAATCTCAGACCTAGTTCCTCTTCATTTTACCACCTCTGTCCTTCATAGTAAACAGAGTGTTTTTTCCCTTTAAATCTTTCCTTCCTCTTGCATCTGTGACTTTCCTCTCTTAGACTTCTGCAGGTATTGCTTCTCTAGACAGAAAATGAAACAGCCACAAAATTCCTGATTTAAAATAATGAGATGGCTTTCAAATTACTTTTTTTTAGTTGTTCACCTTCTGGTAAATAAACCTTATTTTTTTCAAAGAATTGTAGCTAGCAGCACTTACAGGTCAATTTGCCATACATTTGCTATCCAAATTTTTTAATGGAAGGGGTGAAAAAATGAGTACCAAAATCCTCTGATCTTGAAAATACAGAAAGATTTGATTCTAGAAAAACTGTACATGTCTCAGGGCCTCCAATGCATGTTACAAAGCCAGTGGAGCTATTTCAGGATCATTTCAACCTGCTGCTGCCAACAGTCTCCATCAAATACTTATTTTTAGAAGCACTGTCTGTATATGTATTCATTAGTAAAAAATTGCATGTGGTTTATCTGAAGTTTGAAACTTTGCTTGGAACATAGCCCCTGTTGGCCTGTGTGCCCCCTCACATCCCAGCAGATACTTGAAACAAAATAATAATTCTCTTGGATATAGAACAAGAGTTCTAGATTAGAATGTGAGTGGGAGGATTAGCCATAAAAGATTCTGATGTGAAGACCAAATTGAAATGGTTCTGGGATATTTTTCTTCTCATTTTGGGGTCTGTGTTCCTCATGCTCCGCAGTGTTCAGAGGAGGAAGGGGAGAAGCTTGGGGTGAGAAAGGAAGAGTCTGTCCTTTTGTTTATAGTAGTTGAAGCTTCATATCCATATCCTGCTCTGAATCTGAGGTATGGTCGGACATTGCCCTGCAGGCCATGGAAATAGAGTTTATTTCAAGATCACCAAGGCAGGTCACTTTTTTTAAAACATGATCCACTTGGCCTTGAGAGGGCATGTCATTAAGTGACTTTTCTGGGAGGGTGTTGCTTTCAAGTGTGGAACAGAGAAAGTCTGACAGATTGTTAGTGCAGCAGAAACTGACTGATCCTCACTCGTGCAATCTTGAATTACTTACACTGAGCGAGTGCTAACCCAGTCTGATGGGGAGGCTGGCTTGGTGCTCTTCAGCTGGGAGAGCCAGGGTCACTCAGTTCTTTTCTTGTGTTTCTTGCCAGATTTGATATCTGGCTCTGAGGTTTCTGGATTTTAGTAACTTGCCAGCATATCCATTGATGTTGCATTTTGTCTTGAGCCCTGTCTTGGGAGAAGGTGCTCAGTGTCAGCTCTTGTTTTATTTCTGTCTAAAACTGATTTCTTTTTCTCAGCTTTTCCTGCCAGATAGGGGAGCCCTGCTGTAGGTTCCTCTCTTTCTGTCCTCATAGTCTGGGAACAGTGTAACTTTACAAATAATGTTTCATTTTCATGCTTGTAGATTTAAGGAATGTAAATTAATTGAAAAGGAAATCTCATTTTCTTTTGTCCCAAGACAGTTGGTCAGACTTCCCTCCCTGCTTTCTCTACCATCAAGACCAGCTTCAACGTTTTTCTTCTCTTTCAGTCATTACTCATAAATAATTTTCTTCTTTCAAAAAGGTGGGAAAAAAAAAAAGGAAAAAAGTTCAGTAAAGGAATTGTTAAGCTGCTTCCAATTAATGATGAATTACTGTGCATGACCTAGGATATTTAGTTGTTCCCTGTATCAGTCATAACAAGGCCTATATGACAGAAATGTTCATTATCTCCTGAGATGGTTTTCCTTAGTGGTCCTACTTATTTTTGAGTTGCAAATAAAATATATTATCCGCTGCAGAAATACAAGGGACAGTTTTGCTGTAATGAGGAAAGAATATACTTGCAGTATTTTATAACCTTTTTTATTTACACACTGCTTCTACACAAGACTGTAGGGCAAAACTGAATTATCAGAATAGCTAAATAGATGCTACTTATTACTGACTAGAACATTTCTTTCCTACATCAAAGTGTTTTCTGTCTGTGGTGTAATATGTCACTGTTGCAATATGTTTATCCGTGTCAAACTATTGCATTACAACACAAACAGAGGCATTCTGATCTAAAAAAATATTTTGATCAGTAGTAAGTAGCAGCTGCCTTTGTTCTATTTTTAAATAATTAAATAAAATATTTCAGCTGTGTTAGATCATAACGCTGTGCACATGTGCTACTGACAGGTCATGAAACGGAATCAAAGTATAATATTGAGGAGAGAAATCACATCCCTTCAAAATATTTATTTTAAATCTATTGTTACACTAGATAACAGTAATAGTTGGGGTTTATTCTAAATCAGAGTGGAAAAAAAACTTTGTAATTTGTAAATCCCCAGCTAATAAAAATTCTTATTTTTTTTAAAGTATCAGTGTGGTACATCTTCAAGTATGAGTATTTGGAGACAACATATGGACCAGGAAAACCCCAAGACTAGGCTTTATTAAAACTAATTTTAATAGATACCATACTGTAGAAAGATACATAAAGTATGCATTGATTATGTCATAATATTTCAGTAGAGCTTGAAATGAATACAAATGTGCAACAGTTCAGAGGCAGAAATAGCATCTGTGGGGAAACTTTTTTAATCTTGATTTTCAGT